GATGATGATGCTGAGGTTGATGATGCTGATGATGATGATGATGATGATGGTGATTATGATGCTGCTGCTGCTGCTGCTGATGATGATGATGATGATGATGATGATGATGATGATGATGATGATGATGATGATGAGGATGCTGATGCTGATGATGATGATCTCATTTCTGAAGAAAAGCTAGTTGTTGATGACCCCCCCCTCCCATGCGCCTTTTTTCCAATTGACGTGCCCTTCTTGGGGCTGACACCACGTTTTTTGTGTTGTAAAGAAACCAGGGGAAGCGCTGCGCCTCATATTGTGTTGCTGGACCCCGTTTACAACGACAACGGCTCCCGCCGTCCATTTCCTCACAAATCATAGCCACATCGCTCTCCCTTGCGCGGGACGTCCTCACCACTGATGCAGGACTCACGCTCTCGCGTGGGACTCCCTGGCTTTTCTACTGGTTACTTGGAGTCGCGCTATCGCTCGAGACTTCCTCGCGATCCATGCAGGGCTAACGCTTCGTCGACCCAATTCACTTTAAAACCGAGCTCTCGCACGGGACCTCCTCATATTTGTGCAGGAGTCGCGCTCTCGCGTGGTACGTCCAAGTACTCGTTTGTGGCTTTTTGCCCCTAAGTCTCGCAATCACGCTCTCGTTTTGGACTGCCTAGCGATTTACTTGGGAATCGCGCTATCTCTCGGAACTTCCTTGCGACTCATGTCGGATTGACGCTTCAGCTACCCGCGCGTTCGATCTGGCCGTTTGGGTCCGCCTGCCCGACTTGCTTGTTAGGGCCCGCCCGCCCGACCCGCCCGTCTGGTTTTGCCGCTTGGGCTCCTGCTCCCAACCTTCATCCTGCAAATCTCTCTGGCGCTCCTTCTCCCTCCCCTTGTCTCGTCCCTCCTCACTTCCTTTTCTGTTTTAGGGGCTGCGCCAACTACACGCGACAGGCAGGGAGGATACACCCCCAAGGGGGGTACGATTGAAGACGAAGAGGGCGGGTACCGATGGTTTGGGATATACGTGTTGGATAACACGCGAGCAGGAAAGAACGAACTGTCTTAACGTGATTGTCGTTGTTGTGTGTATCATTGTTGAGGACGGTGATGCTGGTGATCATGGTGACGGCGACGGCAATGACGATGACGATGATGATGCCGAGGATGCTGATACTGACGATGCTGATGATGATACTGATGACGATGATGATGCTTGTCTTTCTTGAAGGTGATTATGGTGGTGATGCTGATGTTGATGCTGATGATGATGATGATGATGATGATGCTCATGATGATGATGACGACCGGTTTGATGATGTTGATTATTACGATGATGGTGCTGGTGATGATGAAGATGGTGCTGGTGATGCTGGTGATGCTGATGATGACGCTGATGATGTTGATGATGATGAGGTTAGTGATGATTCTTACCATGCTGACTTCGATGGTGATGGCGAACGTCAGGCTGATCACATTGGTAATGCTACTGATGATGATGATGATGATTATGCTGGCGATGCCGATGAAGCTGATTATCATGGCGATGGTGATCGCTATGGTGACGATGCTGGTGATGATGATGATGGCGAGGGCGATGACGTTGATGATCAGGCAGAACATGCTCATGTTGCGGCTGCTTGTGACGATTCGGACTGTGCTGATGCTGCTGCTGCGGATCATGATGACGATGCCGATGACGATGCCGATGACGATGATGGTGATGATGCTGATGCTGATGCTGATGCTGATGCTGATGCTAATGGGGATGCAGATGATGCTAATGATGCTGATGCTAATGATGATGAGGATGATGAGGATGATGCTGAGGATGCTGATGAGGAGAATGAGGCCGATCAGGATAACGATGGTGATGATGGTGGTGGTGATGATGCTGATGATGATGACCTTGTTTGTGATGATGATGCGGTTGACTACTGTGGCAACGATGATGGTGATAATGAGAATGGTGATGATGGTGCTTTTGATGAGGATACAGCCGCTACTGATGTTGATGATAGTGGACACGACATTCATTGTGATGATAACGATGAAGATGATGGTGGTGGTTGTGATGGCTGTGCGATGATGGTTACGATGAGGATGATCCTGATGCTAATGAAGATGGTGGTGGTGGTGATGCTGTTGATGATGCTGATAATGACGATGCTTATGATGATGAGGATGCTGATGATGCTGATGATGATGACGATGCTTATGTTGCTAACGATGGCGATGACGATGAGGATGATGATGACGATGATGATGACGATGGTAATGATGATGCTGATGATGATGATGCTGATGCTGATGATGCTGATGATGACGATGGTGACTGCGCATGATTAGGATGATGAGGATGACGATCATGAGGATGAGGATGATTATGAGAATGATGACAACAATGAAGATGACGATGACGATGATGATGCTGATGATGCTGATGGTGATGATGATGGTGCTGCTGATGCTGATTATGATGCTGATGATGATGCAGATTTTGCTGACGATGAGGATAGATGACGATGGCGATGATGATGCTGATGATGATGATGCTGATGATGATGATGATGATGATGACGATGGTGGTGGTGGTGGTGGTCGTGATGATGCTGACGCTGATGCTGCTTATGCTGATGCTGATGCTGATGATGATGATGATGATGGTGATACTGATACTGATGCTGATGATGCTGACGACGATGATGATGATGATGATGATGATGATGACGAGGATGATGATGATGCTGGTGATGCGGCTGCTGCTGATGATGATGATGATGATGATGATGATGATGATGCTGATGCTAATGCTGATGCTGATGCTGATGCTGCCGATGATGCTGATGATGATGCTGATGATGATGATGATGATGATGATGATGCTGATGGTGATGGTGATGGTGATGCTGATGATGATGAGGAGGAGGAGGAGGAGGAGGAGGAGGAGGAGGAACACGACGAGAAGGAAGAGGAGGACGGTTGGAGGAGGGTCAGCACGACCGAGGGCCGAACGGAGAGGCCCAGAGAAACGACCGAACTCACAGAGGGCCCGAAAAGTGGCAGCCGAGCAATGAGAAGGAGAGAAATGAGAGGGGATGTTTGTTGCATGTTACTGTGCATCCTGGGGAGGATACCCTTGGAGATTCAGTGTGTTTTGATCGGCGGAGGATCTCATGTTCTTGGAGGATGTTCTTCCATCCTTGGTCTGGCTGTGTGCCGCAGCTGCGGTGCGCATCGCCGTGCTTCAGGGCGCACGGGCATGAGGGGCGACCTCCTGAGAAGGCCTCGTGGAAGCCGCCGACCGAGCCCTTGGGCGCTCAACCCTGCCTGCTCAGATGGCTGCTCCCCTTGTTGCCCCAGCGCCCTTTGCGCGCCGCCGCGAGGAGGAAGAGGAGGAGAAGCAGGAGGAGGAGGTCGAGGAGGAGAAGGAGGAGGATGGGGAGGAGGAGGAGGAGGAGGAGGAGGAGGAGGAGGAGGAGGAGGATGAGGAGGAGGAGGAGGAGAAGGAGGAGGAGGAGGGGGACCAGGAGGAGGTGGAGGAGGAGGAGGAGAGGAGGAGGAGGAGGAGGAGGAGGAGGAGGAGGAGGAGGAGGAGGAGGAGGAGGAGGAAAAGGAGAAGAGGAGGAGGAGGAGGAGGACCAGGAGGAGGTGGAGGAGGTGGAGTAGGGGGAGGGAGAATAGGAGGAGAAGGAGAAGGAGGAGGAGGAGGAGGCGGAGGAGGAGGGGGAGGAGGAGCAGGAGGAGGTGCAGGAGGAGCAGCAGAAGCATGAGCAGGAGGAGGAGGAGGCGGAGGAGGAGGAGGAGGAGGAGGAGGAGGAGGAGGAGGACGAGGAGGAGGAGGAGGAGGACCAGGAGGAGCCCCGACCCGGGGAGGCCGAGCGCATATTCCGGCGGTTCCTAGAGCAGGGCGCGGAGGTGCTGTGCGCTGCTGGCGCCGCGGACCCGCAGGGTGCCGTCTCCTGCGTAGCGATGCAGCTGAATTGCCCGCTCCTCAGCGTCGCGCCCTCCGACGAGCTTCGGCGGCGCTGCGACGCGCTCCTGGAGGCCATCCTGGCCCTGCCAGACATCTTCGACAGGCGCTCGAATCGGCGGTGAAATCCGAACCCTACCCTCGCCGTGCAACGTTTCGATGGGCGGCAGGGGTAGGGTTCAGAATTCGTCGAGCTTGTGGCGAAATCCGAATCCATCCCCCGCCTCCCATCGATTCAGCAGAATCGACGGTTGGTGGGGGTGGGGTTCGGATGTCGCCACCCATCGAAGAAGGATCATCAGCAGAAACAGAAACTTTTGGAGTTCCGCGCAGATTTCTCGGATCGGCGCTGGAGCCCCCCTGGCGGCGTCTCCGGCGCCGCCCCTGGCGCTCTCAGCGCGCCAGGGAGTGGGGTCCAGCGCCGACCAAGGACCTCCGCGCGGACCTCCGAACGTTCATGCTTATACCGTTGTCCCTCCCTTCAGGCACGTCGCCCCCGTGGAGGGCGTGGTGCAGAGGAGGCAGGAAGCCGCCCGGCAGGCGGCGGCGGAAGCCGTCGGCATTCGGCTGGTGCTGCTGGTTCCGGACGCGAGCGCCACCCTCACCAGGGGCGGCGTGGAGCTGCCCGGCGTGAGCCGCGTGGACGTGGAGCTGCCGCCGGGCTCGACGCTGGCAGACCTGCGCGAGGCGGCGCTGCGGACGTGCCGCTGCCCTGGCCTCGCGGGCGCGGCGCCGCGGATGTTCTGCGGCAGCCGCTTCGTCGGGGGCGCGGGCGACACGCCGCTGGCCGAGGTCGAGGCCCTGCAGTCTGGCCTTCCCGTGCAGTGCCTGCCCAGCAACTCGGCGCTCCGCCACGCGGGGAGGCAGGCGGGGGCGGCGGCGGCGGCGGCGGCGGCCGCGGCGCCGCGCCGGGGCGGCACGGAGGCGCCCGCGGCGTCCCCGAGCGCCACGGCCGCGCAGGCGCCGCCAGAGGTCCACCCGCGGCCCGCTCCAGACCACAGGCCCTCCGCGCGGATGCTGGCTGGCGGCGGGCTGGAGGATCGGCACGGGGCGCTGGTAAAGGCGCAGGGCAGCAGGGACCTCGGGCCATCGAAGCCGGGGGCGGACGAGGCGCGCCTGGCGGCAGAGCGGCGGGCGAAGGAGGCGCTGGAGAGACAGGCCGCGCAGCAGTCCGCTGGCGACGACGAGTTCTTCGACGACTTTTTCGCCGAGGCGAAGGCCGCTGAGGTGGACCCAGCACAGGTTGGCGGCGCGCGCGAGGGGGTTGGGCGAGGCGTGGTGCCTTCAAGGGGGCAGAGGGCTTCTTCGAAATGACTCGAGGATTCCGAGAGGGCGGCTTGGAATCCCCTGATCCCTTTTGAGAGGTCGTTGCGTTCTCAGGACGCCTCCCCCCCGCCCCACCCATGTCCGCAGAGGGCATACGTACACCACCACCACCGCGCCTGGTCAGTGCCATCCAGAGCCTCCAGTTGGTGTGCAGACCCTCTTGGCCTTGGCCCCGGGGCAAGACGGGCCCCCGAGGGAAGGACGGTCTTGGGCCCCGGGGCTCCTGCCCGGACCCTGCCAGCTCTTCGCTGCCCGACGCTCTGGGGGCCCGCGGAGGGCCCCGATGGGCCCCGGCTCCGGTGCGACGAACTCCCGGGGGCCCCTGTTGCTCCAGGGCCCGCTGCCCCATCCTCCTCCTCCTCCTCCTCCTCCTCCTCCTCCTCCTATTCCTATTCCTCCTCCTCCTCCTCCTCCTCCTCCTCCTCCTCCTCCTCCTCCTCCTCCTCCTCCCCGTCCCCGCCGCTCCTCCCCCTGTGCTCCCACGCCCGCGCGGCACTGCTAGCAGCCCTCCCAGTTCCAGTCCGAGTGCTCGGCGCCACGGCGCCGCCGCTCCTCTCCGAGAGGGCCGCGCTCCCCCGGCGCGCGCGTGGGCGTCCGTCCGTCCGTCCATGCCGGAGCAGGGCGTGCTCGCCGTGCCTTTGAGGGGGGCCCGGAATTGGGGGGCGATCAGTGAGGGGGCAGCGAGGGCTGCAGAAAAAGGTCAAGAGGGAAAGAAACACACAGACACGATTAGTCCTCGATGTCTCTAAAAATATGGAAAAATATGGGAAGTGGGGGGGAAGACAAACACCCCGAAAATATACAGAAATATTGGGGAATCCTTTTATTTGTGTGTATTTATTTGTGTGTCCCAGGGCCCCTTCAAAAGGGCCCTAGAGAGTTCCTGAAGGGGTCCTTCGGGGCCCCAAAGGGGGCCTTCTGGGCCCGAAAAGGGCACATCTCTCCCCTCCCACGTATCGCACCCCCACTGCACGCCGGTCGTCGAAAGTAGGTATTCAGAGATGCCCAGATCCCAATCTTTTTTAGGCGCCCTCCTACTTCAAGAGCTCAGCGCGTTTCCTCTTCCCTCCTCCTCAGGGGGCGGGTGGCAGCCCAATCTACTTGCAACGCCTTCCTACTCCATATGTCTACCCACTTCTTCCGACCGACGGGTGATTCGCGCTCAGGTGCCAGGGCCCAGCCACGGCCCTGGCCTGGCAAGGTGGTGGTGGTGGTGGTGGTGGTGGTGGTGGTGTGCGGACGCCCTCTGCACGACCCTGCGCGGCCCTGGCACGCGCCGCCGCGCAGGGGCGCCCCGAGGTCGAGCAGCCGACGGAGCCTGCTGGCGGGCAGGGCCTCGCGGGGGCGGCTGGCCAGGCAGGCCGTGTGCCCGGCCGTCTTCTCCTTTTGGGGAGGGCGGGGGGATGGGGTCGTGGAGTGCCCTCGGGGGGGGGTGCGGTCTTGGGCGGCCTCCGAGGGGCCTTCGAAGGCCTCCAGGGGGAAGCGAGGGAGGCAGTCGCCATGAGGTCTGATCCAAGACGACGCGCCACCCACAGAGCTCCGTGTCGAGCTGGACGAAGCTGAGGAGGAGTACCAAGTAGGGGAGCATTTCTTCATCTCAGAGCTGAAAGCGTCCACCGTGCCTACGACACGCCTGGAGCACACAGAGCCATGGCCCCCTGCAGGGTTAGGATGAGGAGGCCAGACTGCCCTCCTCCCCCTCCCTAAAATTAAACCTGCCGGAGCATGGTGATTCCCACCAGGGCGGGCGAGAGGGGATGCCCGGGAGGAGGGCGATTGCGACATCTGCGGCGCGCAGCTGGCTTAAGCCCCGCCGCCGGGCACAGCTCCGTGGCACACGCGCTCGCCTCGGGCGCCGGGAGGTCCAGCTGCGTGCAGCTGGCTCGCTAACCCCCCCCCCTCCCTCTTTCGCTAGCCCCCCTCCTCTCGTCCACCTCGACCCCTAGGGGGCCACACGCGAGCCCTACCCCTACCTCCCACGATTTCTGAGGGCGAGCGAAGTGAACCCCACCCTCCCCCTCAGAAATCGTGGGGGGTAGGGGTAGGGCTCGCGTGTGGCCCCGTAGACCCCCTCTCTCGAGAGGGGGGGAGGGTAGCCACCGGGCGACCCAAAAGGGGGTCCAGCTGCAAGGGGGTGGTGCAATAGATTTGGGGCAATTGTATTGCAAACGTATTGCGCTGGAGAATCGTATTGCATTGTATTGCAACTGATGCGTTGCACGCGAACATCCAGCAATACACTTGCGCCCCAGAGTGTATTGCACGCCCCAAACGTGTTGCAACCCCACAAATCGATTGCACCAACTCCATTGCACCACCCCCTTGCACCAAATCTATTGGACCCCGTTTTTCACCACCCACCAAACCACCCCAACCCAACCCGAAGGCTCAGATCTACCCTCGATTCCCTGTTGGGGGGGAGGTCGGGGACCATAGAAACAACACGTGTGGAACCCTTACCCCCCCAACGCGAAATTCGGGTCTTCGGGTTGGGTTGGGGTGGTCTGGTAGGTAGTCACTTTTGGGGTCCGCCCGAACCACCCACCAGAGGCCTCGAGGCCCGGGCCGCGGCGCGAGCACGGCGTTCTCTCCTCTCGGCGCTGGGGGCCCCGTCCTCGGAGAATCCCCGGGGCGGCGTCTGCGGCGCCGCGCCCCCTGGCGCGCGATGCGCCGGCTGGGAGGGGCGTGTGGGGAGGGGGTCCAGCGCCGATTTGAGACAGCCGCGCGGGTGTCCGAACTACAGGGCAGTTTTTGATACATGGGACTTTTAAAGATATGGGATTTTTAGTACATGATTGATTCATGAATAACTTCATGCGTCAACTCATCGTTGTTTTTAATACTACATCGCTGCATTTCTAATACATGATCCGCACTCGGGACATATCCCTATCCCTATCCCTATCCCTATGGCTATGCCTGGACACCTCCTCATCACGATGCCAATCTTAGGGATTCCCTTGTTTTTTGAGGGCGAATCCCTGAGATTGTCATCGCCTTTTGGCGAGTCAATCCTAGGGATAGGGATACGTTCGAGGCTGGTAAGGTCCAGCGCCGATTTGAGACAGCCGCGCGGGTGTCCGAACCACCGTGCTGATGCAGTGTGGTGGTGTGGCGGCAAAAACATGCAGTCGGAGCGAGGTATACAATCGAGGTCGGTTCTGGGAGGGTGCACCACTGTTCTTCGTGTTCGTCGGATGTTGTGGTGCACCTCGGGGAGGGTGCCCTTGAAGGTTCTGTCTGTTTTGGCCGACGGAGGGTCTTCTGTTCTTGAAGGATGTTCTTCTGGTCTAGGTCCCACTGTATTGCATTCAGTGAGTCGAGTGCCAACATTCCACTGCGTGCACGCCGTCGCAAACTAGGATGCCTTCAGTGAGCAAAAGCTGGATTCAGAGAGCGCGTATTCAATACATCCGCGCGGATGTCCGCAAGTTCTTGCAGTTGCTGCTCATTGGTGCTCCATTGGCGGAGATCGGCTCCCATTGGCAAGGCTGAAAGACGTATCCACCAGCGTCTGGCGGGGAGATGGTCCTGTGTGCGGCTGGTGGTGGCTGATATTTTCCTTCTCGTTGTCCTCGCTGTCGTTCGAGGGCTTGGGGAGTAGAGGACGAGGATGGATAGATGGAGGATGAGGAGGGTATGAGGATGGGGATAGGGGGAGGGAAGAAAGAGGAGTAAGAATAGGAGGGGAAATAGGATAAGGACAAGGCCATCATCCTCTGCCTCCTACTTACACTTATGCCTTCTCCCTCCTTCTCCTCCCTCTTCTCTCCCCATCTTCCTCCCTCGTCCTCTTCCTCGTCCTCCTCCTCCTCCTCCTCCTCCTCCTCTTGATTCCTGATTCTTGATGGCTGAAGCGATCCTCGATCGTAGCCTCCCCTCCTCGTCCTCCTCGTCCTCCTCCTCCTCCTCGTCCTCCTCCTCCTCCTCCTCCTCCTCCTCCCCTTTCTCTGCGTCTTCCTGTTTTCCCCACCTTGATATCTCTCGGCACCCCGCGCAGGAACCTCCCCCTCCTCCCCTCTTCCATTCACACTTGTCACCACTATCAATATGAGCATAACGGTTCTCATCATCAGCATGGTTCATCATCATAGTCATCATCATCATCAGCGTTAGCGTCATCACCATCATCATCATCATCATCATCATCATCATCATCATCATCATCATCATCATCATCATCATCATCATCATCATCAACAACACCACGCACGTGCACTCTAGATCCCCGCGCAGGAACATCTCACCCTACTCCCCTCGTCATCATATTGTCACGTCCACTCACGTTCACACCAGGGGGCCTTGTTAGTAAGTGAATTGCATTGCAGTCTCAAGCGGGACCACCCCCCCTTAAGGCCCCCACTACAAGACACGAATTCGAGGCGGTCATCGTCATATTATGGCAAGCATCGCATTTGAGCACCCTCTCCTGCTGGTTTCCTCCTGCTCCCCCGCTTCCTCGCCCTCCTCCTCATCCTCCTTCTGTTCCTCCTCGTCGTCCTCCTCCTCCTCTTCTCCCTCCTCTCCGAGTTTGAGGATCGATGATTGAGTTGCATTTTGAGACCTCCAGAGGCCTCCAGAGGCCTGGGTGACCGACCTGCAGGGGACCCCCAGGGCCTCGGGAAGGCATGCTGCCTCACCTCCCGCGAGGGTGGCAACGACTGGTTCGACGACTTCTTCTCGGAGGCCGAGGGGACCTCCGGCGCTGGGCCGCAGAAGGACACGGCTCCGCGGCCTCTGGCTCTCACTCGGGACTTGGGCCGCGGGCGGCTCTGGGGCTCCCGGGGGAACTGAGGCCGCCGTCTTTCGGGCTCGAGAGGCGGGGGTCGATGCCAAAGGGGGCCAGCCCGAGCGCCGTCCAGGCAGGCCCAGGGCCTCCTCCTCTTCCTCCTCCTTCTCGTCCTCCTCCTTCCGTTGCCATTTTGGCTCAAGATCGGGACAGGCCCGTTTTGAGTGAGGCAGCCCTCCTGCAGGGCTATCCAGCTTTCAGCAGCTGGCGGACATCCATCCCTTTCTCCGTCCCATGGCTGACGGCGCGCCCTTGTCATCCCAGGAGATCAGCGAGCTTGCCGAAGCCATCGGCTCTGTACCGACCTTCCCTAGTCAAGAATCTCAGGGTCGTCCCGCGGGCAAAGGCAAGGGCTCTGTTCGGTCTGGTGCTCGCAAGCGTCTGGTCGCTGATGTTCCTGTCGACCCTGCCTCTGACCGTCCCGCAGACATGGACGATGGTGACTTCACCTCAGATGAATACCTCAGACAGGTGTGCCGTGAGGAGTTCCAGCTCATGCGCAGCACCATCACAGCGGAGGTCAGCGGCTCCGTGTCCAAGACTGTCGGCGACAACCACGCCACCCTCTTGTCAATGCTCTCTGCCATGCAGGCTGAGGTCGCCAAGCAAGCTACTGCTGTTGAACAACAGGTCCAGTCCGCGCTCGCCCCTCGGCTCGATGCTCTCAGCAGGCGCTTCCAGTCCCAGATTGACGAGCACACGGCCCAGCTTCTCGCCGCTCAGACCAGGCTTGATCGACATGATTCCGACATTGACGCTCTCCGCGAGCAGATTGCGGAGCTACGCAAGCAGCTCGCCCTCGCAGCCGCTGCTCCACGTGATGAGCAGCCCCCACCTTCGTCCTTCGAGCGCACCGAGGATTGCACCATTGTTGTCGCTGTCTCGCAGAAGCCCACCACACAGGCCAGTGTCATCGCCTCCCTCCAGCCCTGGCTCGAGGGCCTCAATTTCACCAGTGAAGACTACTCCATCGTGCTGCGTGGGACCGCCCCTGCTAGCCGATTTGAGGTTCAGTTCAAAGGCCCATCAGGTGCTGCCGCTCGGAAGGCCCGCTCCGCCATATCGAATCTTCGTGACCAGTCGGGTTGGAAGGAGTTCTGGGTCACCCCGCCTGGTGCTGAGAAGTGCAGGCTCCACCTTGGCCCCGACAAGTCCCCCAAGCGCATCGAGCTCGAGATTTCCCTCCGCAAGGTTCGGCAGGCGGTCGAGCTCCAGTATCCAGGAATAAGGTTCTTCTCCGACAAAGAGCGTGGCGTCCTCTCGATGAGGTGGGACAAGTTTATGCAGTTGCAGGTCGCGCGCGGAGACATCCCGCCCAAGATATTCTGGGACATCCCAGTCCTCGCCAAGCACGGCATGGACGTCGGGGCTCTTTCGTGCTGCGTGCCGTGACATCGCTCACCCATCGGACCCTTCGCAGTGGTCTCTTTAGCGCTGCCGCCGTGCTTGCTCCCAGAGCGCTCCCGCCCGAGTTCCCTGCATTGCGGCTGGCGACTCGGAGCGCCAGGGCTCTCCACCAGGCTGGTGGCGACAAGGCCCGCATCAAGAAGTCATACCTTAGCAGTATTCGGCCTTCGTGCACCACTATCGCTCTCCAGGGGATCCACCAGGATCACCACCAGCTCGCCTCCTTCATTGCGACCGTCGCGAATGACATCTCCATCTTCTCCAGTTTCGACCAGGTGGTGGTGTGGCGTTATTGGTGCCTCCTCTCTTGGGCTCCAATGGGTTGCTACCGACTATTGCGCAGAGGGTGCTCATTCCTGGGCGTGCGCACGTAGTCGCGATCTCTTCGGTTTCACACTCCGTGGGCATATTCAACATCCACAATCACGAGCTCTCCCGCTCCGACGTCCGCCTCGCTGTTTGGGCTATCAAAGCTTCACGTTTGCGTGCGCAGCGACTTCAATTCTTTACGCTTCGCGTATCCCCACCAGCCCATCTCACAGCAGCAACTCTCGCGAAGCATGCCGACCGTCGTGTTTTTTTTTTTTTTTTTCAGGCGTGTGTCCGCTTGGTCCCGCATATCTCCCCTGTTCCTCCTTCCTCCCGCCTCCTGGCACATCCTCCTTGTGAGGGGGGCGGGGGGAGGGCGAGGCGGAGGAGGAGGGAGAGACAGCGCTCCTCGTAATTTGAGTCGTTTGGGGTTTCTCGTCCTGGTGTGAGTCGTTCGGGCCTTTCTTCCTGGTGTGAGTCGTTCGGGCTCTTCGTGGTGTGAGTCGTTCGGGCTCTTCGTCCTGGTGTGAGTCGTTCGGGCTTCTCGTGGTGTGAGTTGTTCGGGCCCCTCATCCTGGTGTGAGTCGTTCGGGCCCCTCCTCCTGGTGTGACTCGTTCGGGCTCCTCGTGGTGTGAGTCGTTCGGGGCCCGCGTCGTGGTGTGAGTCGTTCGGGCTCCTCGTGGTGTGAGTCGTTCGGGCGCCTCGTCCTGGTGTGAGTCGTTCGGGCCCCTCCTTGTGGTGTGAGTCGTTCGGGCTCTTCGTGGTGTGAGTCGTTCGGGCCCCTCGTCCTGATGTGAGTCGTTCGGGCTCCTCGTGGGGCTTCTTGGGGGCCTCTTGGAGCCTCGTGGGGCTTCTTGGGGGCCTCTTGGAGGCCTCTTGGGGGCCTCTTGGGGACCTCTTGGGGCCTCGTGGGGCCTCTTGGGGGCCTCTTGGGGGCCTCTTGGGGGCCTCTTGGGGCCTCGTGGGGCCTCTTGGGGGCCTCTTGGGGGCCTCTTGGGGGCTTCTTGGGGCCGCTTGGGGGCTTCTGGGGGGCCTCTTGGAGGCCTCTTGGGAGCCTCCTGGGGGCCTCTTGGGGCCATCTTGGGGCTTCTTGCGACCTCCGCAGAAGCGCAAAGGAGAGCTGCCCCCTGAGAAGGACAAAATGAGCCCAAAACCTTCGTACAATCAATGATTTTGCTATGAGGGAAGATGAGCGCGGCCCCCACCAGAAGGCCAAAATGGGGCCAAAACCTTTGTAAAATCCACGATTTCTGCTTCAAAGACGAGCAGAGGGACCAACCTCCCCCCCCCCCGGCCAGAATCCTTGTGAGGGTCGTCGTTTTTTTGGCCCCCCGAGGAGTCGAAATGGACCCCCCCGCCACCACTCGGGAATCCCTGTCCAGGTCCAGGGGGAGGGGGTAAGGGGGAGGGGTGAACCCTTCCCCGAAGGGGAAGATCGGGGGTTGAGAACAGAGAGAGCTCGCTAAACCACTCACGCCCGAAGGGCTGGTGGTATTTTGCCGTGCACGATGCGCTGGTTCTCGCGCTCCCTGCTGCTGCCGTTCCCCGTGGCGATAGACGGCGCCACGGGCAGGGGCCTCGCTGGCGGGAGGCGCTTTCGTGCCTCACCGAGATTGTGTGCGAGGGCCCCTCGCACTTCGAAAAAGCATCAGGATCGTGCTCCTCCATTGATCGTATCTTTTGCTCGTCGTCGGGCTGGCAGATGTGCCAGGTGCACTCTCAGATCAGTGCGGGTGGCGCCCCTGAGGCCCTATCCGCACGCAGGATCTCTGACCATGCCGCTGTCCTTCTCACTATGTCCGCTCGTGCTGCTCGGCCCCCAAGCACCTGTCCCATCCAGAAGCGCATATTCGAGGCTCCTGAATTTCGGCGTCGTCTGGAAGGTCTGTTCAGTGCTGTGCAATGGGAAGCTATGTCGCCCCCTGTCAAGCTGGAAAAATACAAAGAGCTTTTGGGGATCGCTGCCGCCGAGACCAGGGATACCCTTTTCCGCCATCGCCCGCATCATCCTGCGACTCTGGTTCAGCTCGCGCGGTCGCTTGCTCGTGTGGTGTGGCGCCAGGACCGTTCGCTGGCCGCTCGCATTCTGGACTCGCCCGCTCGCGGCGGACTTCATCTCCCTGGCGTCGGGGAGGGTCGAGCTTCGCCATCCCCCTTCGTTTCAAGCTTGGGTTGATCAGGTTCAGACCGAGGCAGCTGAGAGTGCACGGAAAAATCTTGAGGCGTCGCAGCGTCGTGAGGGGGATCGATTTCAGACTCGATGTCAATTTCGGGCGCTCGGGCGAAGGGCTCGTCTGTGGTCTCCGCTGAACCGCCGTATTTCGCTGTCAGGGGTCGCCTTGGATGATGGAAGAGTCGTTGCCGAACCCGACGCTCGTATTCGGGGGCTCTCTGCTTATTGGGCCCCTGTATTTCGTAAGAAGCCATGGGGCGCTGCTGCCGCTGACGAATATCTTTGCCGCTACCTTCTCACCGCTCGCCATATTGTGCTGCCGCCGCCTTCAAAGGGAATGATCAGAAGGGTTATTCGCACGGCTCGTCACTTTGCCCCTGGCCCCGACGCCCTCCCATGCGCAGCGTGGGCGGCCTCTCCCTGCAGTGTGTATATTCTTTGGGGGGCTCTCGAGTGGATCCTCAAGGGCCAGGAGCTCTTCGCGTGCTCGGGGGACACGGTCCAGATCTTTCTACCTGAGAATGTCACGGACGCCGAGCTCGCTGGCCGCGCGTGCATTCGCTCTCCTGATAAAGTTCGGGTCTTGCGGCGTCGGAATTGCGACCTCGAGATCATCTCCGCGGTGGTCAACCACGCCACCCGGCCTGCGTTGCAGGCCCTGGCTCCGCCGTGCCAGCGCGGATTTGTTCCTGGCCGGAACTTCGGGGTCAACATTCTCGAGCTTGACGCCATGGGCGCGATGTTGTCTGTCACGCCCCGCGCCTCCCGCGACATCCCTGTCCTGTTCTCCTTCGATTTCGGCCAGGCCTTCCCCTCCCTCAACCAGGACTTCCTGATGCGCTGCCTCTGTCTCATGGGCCCCCCTGGGCCCCTCGTGCAGTTCGTCGCGTCCATCTACTCCTCGATCGAAGGGGTCACGCTCCACAGAGGGCATCTCGAGCGCGTGTCTGGATCCAGAGCGGGATCATTCAAGGTTGTCCCCTTTCTGGCACCCTGTACGCCCTCGGCACTGCCGCGTTCCTCGTGGACCTGGCTGAGAA